CGATTTTTAATTGAATATAGATACAGAATTCTACAGAAAAATTTTGTTGGCATAGATGCTATTACATTGAAATATTGCCAAATTTCTTCAATTGAGAAACAAAAACAGATTTTAAAAAATGATCTCCATTTACTGTGCTTGATTTTATATTATTATTGTTTTTAGGTGATATAATATGCTCGATAAAATTAGAGCGCCCTACACCATATCGCTTCTTGAGAATAATACCGTAACTTCTCAAAATCGTTAATTTTTCGACTAGGCATCTTGTTGAAAACGCAAGATATTTCACTATATTTTGCTACAAATTACGTAATGATATATCAAAAATTATTAAAATCATACCAAATTCAATAATTAAAAATTTTTAGAGTGTGTTTCTTGTTAAATTAAATACCGCGATATTTTGCGATATCACCAAAATTGAAAAATATTTTAATATCAAACCGCGGAATATTGAAATACTACACAGTTTTCTTTGAATATAGCACCGCAATATTTCGTTTTATATTGTTTTTTACATTACTTTAAAAATAATTCTACAAGTACTATAAAACAAAATGTTTCGGTCTTTAATTCTCCATTTAAAAATACCGTAACTTTGAACTCAATTTACTCGAAATTATAAAATCAAAAATGTTGCGATATTATTCTCAAGGTGCGATATCCTGATATGTGTATGCATATTCGTATCGTACCCATAATTAAATAAATAAACGCTCTTGATTTTAATTCTCCATATTATTATAACATTACAGAATTTCATGTTAAAATCTTTCACATATGTCCTGTAAACAAAACAAGGATATTTTATTAGAAATATGCAAACATATTTGAAAATACTTTATAGTTAATAATGGTCATCTGATTACAAAAAAAAATCTATCTTATTACTACATCAAAAACTTTTTCCCGCCTGAAGCCTTACGTAATATATTTTATTATTATTTTTTGCCGAAATATGAATGTAATATTAAAGAGAACACCATAACTATATTTTAACACTATCTATTACACAATTATATACACATTTATTTACAATACATATGGATATGTACAGTATAACAGTTAAATTTAGATAGAAATTAAAAAGTGTGTAAGATGACCACCAATATTGTTGTGTCGTCATCGTAATAAATTTCTAATCAAATTACAATAGTATGAGAGGCGGCTATGCCACTTAATATCAAACATAGTTTGTCATATTAACAAACATTTTAATATTTTACTTATATATAAAAGCAAAACGAACATAAGTACATACGTTGAAATATTATAAATTATATGCAATTGAAGTATAAAGTAATAATAGCGTTATCATAACGTGAAACCATGATATGAGGAATTTCAAACATATTCTGTTATCTTAAATTTGATTATAATTTGTATCGCACCAGGGAAAGGTATTGCTTTCGTAGCAAATCACAAACTAAAATATATTTAAAAATTATTTGTATTAAAGCTGCGCAAATTTCTGATTTTTTAAACTAGCTTTAATTCACATTATTTGCCTAATAGTTAACACTTTAGATTGGAAGACGAGCAATTTTGAAATAATAGGAGAAAAATCGATTTTAATTATAAATTATTTTGCTGGATTGTTTTCAATATTTCCCTAACTTACTATGTGATTGCCACTTTCTTTTCATATAAGATTATTCCATAATATCTAAACTAAGTTGTATATTTCACACATCCCAGTGAATTCGAGAACTGGCCGAACTCATTACTCATAATTGTTTAAAATTTCATTAACAAAAAATAACTTAGTCAGTTAGGTGGCGATCGCATCAAAAATATTTTTTTCATAATTTTTTTTTTTGGCGTCTAAAGATTTTTTTTTATATTTTAGCTCTCTTATTGTGGCTTAGCCAGTTTCTATTTTCTTCTTTAGTCTTGAATAATCACAACAAAATACTGTCATGATCAAAAGACCATGTAATTTGAGCATATGTAGTTGTATTTTTTTTTGCACTGCCTGTTATAATTGGGGCCATTATTTTATAAAAACAAATTAAAATATTAAAAATATTAAAATTAAATTCAATAGTAAAGAAAAAATATTACTAACAAATAAATATTAGAACATAATATTATTAAAACCACATAGACTTACTAAGGGGGCCTGAAATCTTTAATGCATTAGAAGCAACGAGAGCAATATAATATAAACTAGATTACCAAGGGTTTTACAATTCAACATAACGAATACAGGAAATTGGGTAAATTAAGAGAACAGAGTGGTGTCTAATCCACATTAATTTTTAATTGTAGAAAAAATGTCAAATTTTTAACTCTTTATATGCTTTATATGCTTGAACTTCTTATACATTTGTAGTTTATCAGTCTCAATTCAATCATGTATCAAATATCAATCTGTTAGGTGAAAGCTTTGGAATGTTTAAAAAAAAAACTTATGGGTTAGACCGCTAGAATATTTATTATTTGCTTTTATTCAATAATTACATAGACATTTTGCTGGAACTATATATATACACATGTGCCCACTGAAGATAGAACTAAGTTTATCATCGGCCACGAAATTCTACTAAGAGTCAAATTTACATTTTTAGAGGAATTTTAACTAAAAGTTTACTAGTGTCTTTAAAATTGTAAGGAAGTGTTTAAAACGCATTCTCATAATTTTCTGCAACATTGTCGCTAAACTAGACAATTGCGGTCAGCATTGTGCATTGTAATGTACATTGTGGTCAGTTGTTTGCTGTTACATCAGAATTTTTTTAAGGTTTTCAGTGAAATAATTGATTTTTCGAAATTGATTATTCCATTACATAGAATAGAAATCGATATTTCTATTTATATTATCTATTTCTCTCTAATTAGAAAAAAATAAATGTACAAAATGGCAGACTACCACAAATGTTTTAATAAAAAGCATACAATTTTTTTAATTTGTTCCTTGTACCTCGGGAGATTTATTATTAGGAAGTGACACACTGATGACATTGACTTTTTTAATTTATGAAGTATTTATTTCCGTAATTTTTCCTTTAACCACCATTTACTGACAATTACACTTGATTAAACACTTAGATTTAAGGTGAATTTGAAACCGATATTCTAATCTTTATTTTGATACTAAGTCTATGAACTGGAAATCTGTATGGTCAAATCGTTGAGAAAATAATAGCTTTTGTAAAACCCTTTGAGGTTTTAAAATTTTGTGCTTAAAAACAGTTGCTGCACATACCTGAAAACTAAAAGAAAGAAATATTGTTTTCTAAAATGACTATTACTTAAATGAAGTTATAAAATATTTTAAAAATTTAGACGTCTCTCAAGACTTACAAAATATATTTATTGTCAAAATATAAAATTTTTTTCACAAAATATGAACTTTTTGTTTGACTATATTTTAAATAGAATCACATACATTCTTAACATTTTGATTGTACATATATGCACATATAATTTTATATTCTGTCAAAATATATACACACTCAATATTTATGAAAATATTTTCTTGGATAAAAATTTGTTCGAATATTTGTACATAAAAGACTCTTTTGTAAGTAATTTTTTATAGGGAAATAGTTAGTTTTCCTTATCTTATAATGTATGTATGTATATACAATTAGAACATTTATATATTCATGTATATTTGAAAGTTAATATTATTTGGAGCTCATTAGAAGCCTATATAGGCTTAATGAATTTTATTATTTATACATGCACACATAATGTTCAGCAACATTCAAATTGTATGTATATTATGTGCATGAGTATATGTGCATGTATAAATTTTTAAAATTTCTCTTCTCATTTTTATTATTTTCTTATTTTTAACATTTTAACATTTTCCTGTATGTGGCATACATCGTATTTTATATGTGAACTTATTTTACTACAGTATATACTATTTTAATACATATATGTACATACATAGACATAACAGAAATAATATAGAATAACAATAATAACAATTCACATGTCAGAGAAGAGGCAGCATCCAAAAACAAAAATTTGCTATTATTTTTGTTGTTGTTGCTGTTGTTACTGCTGCTGCTACTACTGTTAAATGTACAAGAATCCTTGTTAATTTTTTATGCTGTTGTTTTTAATTTTTGCATCCTTTTCTGCTTTTCTCATTTTATATTTTGTTTTTTAAATTTATTTTGATTATTTTTTTTTTTTGTTGTGTTTCGGCATGTAAAAATTGATTCATTTACGATTTAACCACCTAACTAACCGTATTAATCGGATAAAAAGTGTTTATTATGGATTTAAAATAATAAAAAAAAAGAAATTAAAAAAAATATTAAAAAGGAAAAAATAAAAATTAATTTTTTGCAGTTTTAAAAAATATTTAAAATTGGTTTCGCAAAAAAAGGAAAAAAAAGTCAATCAACTGATCGATTGAAAGTTTTTCTTGTTGTTTTTTTTATTTTTAAAAAAGGATAAAAATCCTATATTGAAAAAATTACATAATGTTATTGAATATGATTTTTTAAAACAAAATTTTTAAAATGATTTTGAATTCAAAAAATAATAATAACAAAAAAGAATAAAGAAAAAAAAAAAGGAAAATTCAATAAAATTCATGTGAAAGCATTTGCAATTTTCCGTGTAATTGAATTAAAGCAATCCTGTGGCAAAGTACTTTATGTTAAATTTACCCCCGAAAGTATGCAATTTTTTTAATCATTAAGTTTTCAGAAAATTTTGTAATAATTTTAATAGCTACATACAAAACAAAATAAAAAATATAATTAATAAATTCAAAGTTTTATTAAAATAATCAAATTTAAATTACCAGATTTTTATCTCAAATGAGTGAATTGGGAAATTTTCATGAATTCAATAAGTTTTTTAAAATTTATTGAAAATTATGAGTTCTGTGAATTAAAATCAAAAATTTATTAGAAAAAAAGAGCCAAATATAAAATAATTGTGTTCTATTGAAAGTTTTTTGAAATTGAGAATTCAAAAAAAAAAAAAAATATATATTAAAAGAAAACCCTTGTGATAAAAGGAAAATAAAAAAAATTTTTATAAATTTGCAATATTTCAGAATTTTGGTGTAATATGAAATAATTATTGTAATTAAAATTAAATTGAGAAAAAATTAAGAACCAAATACTATTTCAGCCGAAAATTGTATTCAAGGTATTTGATTTTGTTATGGTTTCTTGTATAAATTTTTAGTAAATTAAATTTAAATTAAAATTTTCCAATGAAAGCCATTGAATGTAGCTTAACGTATGCCACTTATAAATTTAATTATACTGTTTTCATATTTTTAATTTAAATTCAAAATATACTTGAAATTACAAATATGAGAACGGAGAAATATGCGTCTTATTTGAAAAAAAAAAATATTTTTTTTTCCCCAAAAATTTTATTCAAAAAATTAATCTGTTTTTATATTGAATAAATAATAGTTTCAAATTCTCATGGAATTCCTTATTTCTTAGATACGTGTAATAATAATATGCCCCAAAGATTTAAGATGTGTATTTTAATTGGAATATGTTTTCGCATAGGCTAACCTAATTCGGTGCTTTGCTTTTGTAATCTTGGTATTATTAATTGCTTAAAATGTGACATTATCATTTTCAAGACATAAATTTTCACTTTATAAAATGAAATTTAGAATCATATACTATCGCTTTATTTTTGTATTTATTGCCAATATATTACTGCTATTGCCATATTGACAAGTATTGACGCTGCAATTGCGTTTTAAAGGGAAATATTAAAGGGTAATTAAGGCATCAATGATAAACGATAAATAAAATCACGTTTTCAAGGTATTCACGTTTAAACGGCAGATTAATTCACGTTCGTTTATGCTATTAATATTTTATATCCTGGAATGAACAACAATTTAAAAAAAACAATATTTGAATAGCACAGCTATTTATCAAAAGTTCATGAAATTTGAATGAAAATGAGAATATTACTTAGGTAATATAATGAGCATATTGATGCAATTAAAAAAAAAACAACGCCAAAAAACGTGGTCAAAAAGTTTTTAAAAATTTAATTCTCAAACTAATAGCAATATGAGTTTTTGATTTTGGTCGGGGCTCTAATGATTTCATTACAAAATATTAAAATAAGAATTCAAAAACTCTTATTTTATTTTACAATAATTCTGAAATTAAAAGCAATTAAAATAAAATATTGTTTAACACACATAAAATTATATCAAATAGTTTTTCCAGTTTCCGAATTTTCCAAAAAAAATCTAGTGCCGTTGTCCATGAATATAGAACTTATTATGTATTAAAGTTTTTTAATAGATTTAAAAGTTGTATCATTTCTGTATAATGCGTTTATTATAGCCCTTTTTGCAGAAATTAGAGAAATTGCTAAATCTGGTTTTTAAAGAAACTAAAAATCAGAATTCTCTTACTTAAATAAATAGCGAAGGATAGTTAAAAAAATTTTGATTATCAACTTATTATAACAATAAGATTATTTAATTATGCCCGAATTAAGAAAAAGCTCATGAAAGTATTCAAGAATGCCTATAATTCAATGTCACGCACTATATTCCTACCCAATATGTTAATATGTATGAAATATACAATAAAACATAGAAATCCTAAAATTTTTAGATTCCGTGATTATGATATTCTAGAAAGAAGTAAAACATCTAGAAAGCAATATTAAATTTAATTTATTTCGTAAATTTTAGAAACTTTGGCATCCAAATTTATTTTGAGTGTTAACTATTTGTTCTGTAATTTTTGAATGCAAAAATCAAATGTTTTGGCTTGGTATTTGTCAAAAATTAGAATAAAATTCAAATTTTGATGTTTTTGAAGTTTAAGAATTCTTAAATTACTAAAATTTTAAAGATATTTAATATTGAATTGTACTAACCACATTTAAATTAAGTGACATATTTGATAAGTCCTATACGCTTCTCTGTATGGCTTCTAAGATTTATTTAAATAAATTTCTGTCAAATTTTGTTGGATCTTCATGTTAATTTCCAAATTGATCAGAGTTATTTCCTAGTTCCTTTTCCTTGATAATTTTGCACCCTTGGTCACATGAAATCACCGAGTTGCATTATAATTTAATATAACACTAACATAGATTTTGCGATTTAACTTTCTTTAATAAGCCTGCAAAAATCATAAAAATTATACTATGGAAAAAAAATTCATATTATTTTAAAACACTTTTTAAATTACAGGTATTAAATAAATAGAATTTAGAAAATTTTATTTTATAACTTTAAAAAAAAACTATTATGAGGTAAAATTGATAAATTTTTCATACACGAAACCCACTCATGTGTATTATGTCATATAATAACTATTCAATGACGTTTAAAAACAGGATTTAAAAGAGATCTCCGATTTTATCTATATTGGATATATAAAAAATACTGCCATCACACATTACAAATATTTTCACAAGACATAATAACGGTACATAAGTTTGAAGTCTCAAAATTTATTAATAATTTTTTTGTTGCTAACTGTAAAATTTTACTACAATGGATCAAATATTCAAAAAAAAAAACCTGCCACCCAATGTATGCAAAATAATTAAAAAATCGAATGCAAAATTTTAGGGTCTACAACTAAAACTTTACGTTTTTAAGTTCACACAAATTGTGACTGATAAAAATTGTAATAAGCACACGAACCAGTTAAAATTAAATTTTTGCTTTTTTCTTTTAAATTGATTAACTTTTTTTACATTTTGAAGTTTTTAATTTATTAAAAGGCAATGACAGCAAAAGGGCCAAATCAGGCAATAAATCTTTTTTTCGTTTATGGCAAATAACATTTTTCTTCATTTGAACTTAGTAAAAAATTTCGTTTTAAAACTGATTGTGCAACATTTTTTTGTGAAATAAAATCACCTGGTCAATTTCATTCTAGTGGTCACTGATTTTCTAAAGGAGGTTTGCTCTACAAGTGCTATAAAAATTTGATTACTTACCGTTTTTAATTTAATTTGATTTGAAATACGCATTTTGTAATTGAGTTTTTAAATTACTAAAATTTCGGACAGCTTCCAATGTAATAACGCCTTTTCAAAATGTAAACTGAGTATTGGTTTGTGCCCCACCAATTCTCTCCCTAATTACATATTACAAACATTGATGATTTTTATTTAAAATTATAATGCTTACATTAACATTCAATTACTATGACTTGCCACCACATATGCAATAATTGAGTAACTCCAAATTTCACATTATTACAGAAATCATAAATTTTACATAATTGGTTTTTGGGTAGAAAATAATTGCAACAAAAAAAAAAATAACAAAGAAAAATTGACAATACCAATAAAATCAAAATAAATTTATTAATTAATAAAACCAAAAAAAAATTATAAAAAATTTGGTAGCTAATAAAAATCTTTAACAACACACAAAATACTTTTTTTTTTTTGTTGTGGAAAACTGAATGTGACTGAGTGTAAATGCACTTTTTTATGCCCATTATGCAATATGAGAACATTTTTGTGCAAATCATAAAATTTTTTACTCTAAATTTTTTTTATTTTTGTTTTGAAATTTGAATTTTTGTTTTTTAAATAAAACTGTTTTATGGGAAAAAAATCGGTAGAAAAAAATCATTACAAAAACAAAAAAATAAAATAGTAAAAAAATTGACAAAAAAAAAAATTCACCACACAAAAGTGGCTTTCAATTGTTGTTGATTTTAGCTTTTGTTTTTTTGTTCTCTTTATATGATTTTATAGTTGATTTTCACCTCAGAAGTTGAAACCAAAATCGGGGGTGGTTAATGTGTAACCTCAACCGAAAAAAAAACTGTTTCCATGTTGTTTTTTTTTGTTTTTGTTTTTCGTTCATCATCATGAGAACTGCAATTCAAAAAACGAATTACTAAAAAAAAACTCCCGAAAAACAAAGAAAAAAAAAATTGAAATAATTGCAAAGGTCCAAAAAAGCAACGAGAAAAAAAAAATAGGCAAACTTTTTGCTCACAGTTTTTCTATAGTCAAAGTGAATATGGAACAGAGGCATACAATCCAAAATAAAAAAAAAATTACAACAGGATAATAAAAAGGAAAACATAAAAAATAAACACGGAAAATTCAGTTACAAAAAATTAACAAAAAAAAAAACAACATGGCGTTTTTTCATCAAAATTCACTCAGTGTATTATCTACAGTTATTTTTTTAATTTTATTGTTATTTTTCTGTTATTCTACTTTTTTTTTTGTTTTTTGGTTATTTTTATTTTGTGGGTGAAGTGCAAGTGAATCAGAAGTGCAAACATAACTTCCCTCAATTGTACTGTGTGGTTATTTTTTTTCTTTCTCTCTTTTTTCTTGTTTTTCATTTTCGGTCTCATATAAGTTCGAAGCAAAAGCAAAAAAAAAATTTTATTAATAAAAATAATAATAAATTAAAAAAAATTGTGCAAATGAAACAGAAAATGTGTGTGAGTAAAAAAAAATTGGGAATGAATTCGTGAAATAAGAAGAAATAAAAAATTGAATTATTGAAATGAAAAAAATTAATAAAAACGGTTGTTTATTAAGAAACGTAGAGCAATTGTCATTTCGATTTACTCACAAAATTATGCTTATTAAGTGGTAAGAGTCATAACAAGTGAAGTAAAAATTTTGACATTGAAAATTCCAAAATAAGAACGAAAAAAAGGGTGTATCGTAATGTACGTATTATTTTATAACTTCCCGCAGGTTTTCCCGCACACTCTTTCATAGTATGTTGACAAGCTTTAATATTTTATTTCATATTTTCTTCACTTATAAACAAATAACTACTTTTCTTTCTCTTTTTGAGTTGATGGGGAGCTCTATAAAAAAAGTGGAAAGGTATCAAACTGTTGATTAAAGTAAAATCTTATATTTTGAGATTCAAAATGCTTATAAATGTGTGGTAGCCGTTTAATTAGTATTCCAAGAATTATTAATTTAGTAAAAACTTCCGACGGTTTACAAAAAAAAAAGAAAACAAAAACTAATAAACTTGTTGTGTAAGAAATTTGAAAAATTTGTAATTAAATAGACGCTCAATCAATTTTTTAAATTTTTAATTTTTTCCGGTTCTTTAATAACAATTTAATATTAACATTCTACTTTAATATTTAATTCAATTACTCAACAAGTTGAATTAAATATTTTTTTTTTTATTCTTA